GCGGGATCTTTCCTCGACTGGGTTAGGATACCACACAATTTCTGTGTTTACTTCTCTTCCTAGTACATCCTGACGGATAGAACGAGTGGGGGAGGGTGTACTCGTTTAACAACCTTAAAAATTTCGAGGTAGCTCGGTATTTTAGTGAACAGACTCACATCTATGTCGTGATTGTAACTGACTCACAGAGCATATTGAGAAAGGTGGAGTCAGGCATACTCTGTGCAGAGTGGCAAGTACCACTTCAAAGGTCCGGGGTAGTTAGCGTTCTTTGGATATTTTCTCCAGGTGATGCCGGTTTGTTGGGAAATGAGCAGGCAGATAGACTGGCCGGTTCTGCACCACTTGGTGGTGAAATTATGTATGACAAGCTGGATGTTGTGAGGGCCCTTAGGGAACGAGTGAACAGTGCCGAGGAACAGATAGATCATTACGGTCTGAGGAGAATGGCACTGCGAGTTAACCTGGGCGACAATCGACATTCTAACACTCTGGAGAAAGGCGATATACAATCAGACAGTTAATAGAACCATCGGAATTTTAACTCATCGCTTGCTGCTGCAGATGGGGACCGAGCGCTTATGGGGTGTTCCGAGTGCTGTGATGTTGATTCTCAATTCAACATTCAACTGAATTCAACATTCAGTAGACAGACATGAGATAACAGAAAGATGAGAAGCAAATTATGAGGTGTTTATAGGCTCTCATGTTTATGACACGAAAATAAAATTACTATAGGTCGGAGGAGATGCTCGACAATACGTTCGGTTTGTAAAGGATCACTTTCATTTCATGGGTATATCTTTATAAGTGCTACAGTTTCCTCACTTAGATCGTGTACAAGTATATCTCAATACATGCTATATTGTTCTTCTATAAAGTATACATGTGTAGTTCCAAGAGCGCCCCTGTCTCCTTCTATAGGTCAGGCACGAATATTTCCATAATTGCACCAATTTCCTCACATCGATCACACACGAATATCTCCTTAATTGCATTAGTTTCCTCACATCGATCACACACAAATATCTCCTTAATTGCATTAGTTTCCTCACATCGATCACACACAAATATCTCCTTAATTGCATTAGTTTCCTCACATCGATCACATACAAATATCTCCTTAATTGCATTAGTTTCCTCACATCGATCACACACAAATATCTCCTTAATTGCATTAATTTCCTCACATCGATCACACACAAATATCTCCTTAATTGCATTAGTTTCCTCACAATGATGCACACGAAAATATCCTTAATTTCTCCCGCACAAAAGAACTTTTATCTTCGGCTGCAGATAAAATATTCGAAATTTCTTTATTATAATTTTTTTTTTTTTTTTTTTTTTCTCATTGTACTGTATTCACAATGAAGGTTGGCAGCACTATGTCCACTGGTCATTATGAGAATATTACATTATGATGTCCCAGTCTCTTCCAGGTGTGACTCTCATACTTCTGTCTGAAAACCACTGGAACGGTCTGTTTCTAAATCGCTCATCACAGGACTCTGGTAAACGAGTAATTCATTGAGAAACGATTTCACTACCATGTAAGCAACGGAACTATACTGAACATTTTCTTGCAAACAACTAAAATTTAGTTTTTAAGGCTAAATGTTTAGTCTATAAATGTTTTGAAAGGCAAACAGATCGTGCTGATATTTGAGTGATAATTTCACGTGGGAAAAAAATAGGCTTAGATCAATTTACTCATGTACCTGATGTATAACATCAGACAGAAACCCATTGTCTGTTATTGAACCAGCTGAAGAATGTGGTAGGTAATTGACAGAGCATGCTATCGTCGTGTGTGCATCCATTGTTCTGTCTTCAGTAATTGTTTGAGGAGAATATCACTCCCTTTCCTTCTCCATTGATTTATCAACCTTTGCCATAGCGAAACAAAAGAAACCGTATAGTGATTTTTTTGTAATGATATTTATTTTGCCATTACTTTCAAATAGCAAAACTCTGTTGTCTGGGTAGGTATTTTTCTGAGCGTTTAAAAGCTTTGTTTTAACAGAAGGTTATAAAAGTACACGGAAGCTTCATTATTCTATTCATTTCTTATAAACAGCCGTATCATATCTGTTTAAGCCCATCTGTGGCAGGCGTCATGGTACAGTATTTGCCATCAGTGGTAGGTAGGTAGGTAGGTAGGTAGGTAAGTAGGTAGGTAGGTAGGTAAGTAGGTAGGTAGGTAGGTAGGTAGGTAGGTAGGTAAGTAAGTAGGTAGGTAGGTAGGTAGGTAAGTAGGTAGGTAGGTAGGTAGGTAGGTAGGTAGGTAGGTAGGTAAGTAGGTAGGTAGGTAGGTAGGTAGGTAGGTAGGTAAGTAGGTAGGTAGGTAGGTAGGTAGGTAGGTAATTTTACCCCACCAGGACATCGCACAAGCGATAAACACCAGGTGACACAAAGTGCCACCATGTGGATGAGGATCACCCGTGGAGAGGTCCCGGAAACCCTGTTCAGCCGTTATGCCATATGTCAGGTCCGGCTATATTTAGGACCCCCGGCAAAAGCTAGGGTGGGGCTTCAAAACAGCTAAAAATTGCATCCCACATGGTGATGACGAGATTGCTATATAATATGCCATTAGTGGAAAATTGACTTCTTGAGAATATGCAGCTTCGATACATTTGAGATAGTATCTTTAGCAAACAAATCAATGCTGAAAATTGATTTACACTTTCACCAAAATTGTACGGGAAAATATTAACATGCTCAGTTATAGTGATATGGTTGGTAGTCTTGTTGGTTCATTGGTTTTGGACCCTTTTAAAGACTGTAAAGTCCAGTCAATTAGCGTTTAGCTCGTTTCCACACCTGGTACTTCTCACACACCTCCTCCACCTTCTCGTATAATCCAGTTGCGTATATGTACGCCAGTATTGCCACTTTTCTTTTACAAAAAATATACAAAACGGAGTCAAAAAATATCTAAAAACATCTAAATTTGCATGGAAAACATCTAGAAAACACATACAAATGGAAAGAGTCACAAATTACATAGCAATTGATATATATGACTTACCCTATAGATTCGTGTGTTCATCTTTACCGAAGTCTGCCTTACAAGATCCACAGGATAAACTTAGCTCGGATGATGAAGTTGAAGCTTCAGATCCAAAATGACTCTGTTATGCTTTTGCTGTTCCAATTTCTTTGAATACCCAATCAGGGAGCTGATAAGTGGAACAGTCTTTTCCTACTCTTATCAGGCCGAATTTTACTGTCAACATAGCGTTTAAAAGGACCAATTTCATCCTGTTTCTTAGGTTACATCTGATAAATTCACTCGAAGTGAAAAATATCTAGAAAAAACATCTACCATCTAAACGTCAAAAACGCCATCTAAATGCTAGCGAAAAGATCTAAATCTGGATGTAAAACATCCAAAGTGTCAACACTGATGTACACTCGTAACAAATAGAAACCTACTGATTGGCATTCATATAAAGAAGTAGAAAGATAGAAGAACACACTAGAAACATTTTAAAAAAGGCTGTAGTTACCATGTTTTGCAATCAAACCTGTCGCCTTCAAATGACGACAGCACCTGACTGCAGGAACACGTGTATTTTGACACATGATCAGCTGGGAACCCCTGAAAAGAAGTCTTCATTAGCAATGTCTGTCATACAGCCTGAACCCACAACTATAGAATACAAACAACATTCGTCTCAGACATTCAAATAGCAACCACAGGTTACCTAAATCACATACAGATCCTTGCATATGTGTTCATGACTGATTGAATTTTGCAGGATAAGGTAGCCAGCCTCGTACCAACCCTCATTATTCTTATCTTGCGGTATAAATGAATGTTACATCATCATCATCGTCCTATCGTTTCGTTATACCTCATACTGGGATCACAATCTAGTCTTCCATTCCGTTAGTTCCTTTGTAGTCTTTGGCCTCTCTCTGCAGCTTTCTTCATGAGTTTTTCTTCTTCAATCCATTTGTTTTCCATTCCCGTGCATGTATAGTGATTATTTGTCCGATTTTCCCTGTGATGTACTCAGTATATTGCTATCTTCCTTTTCTTACAACTGTTGTTTCTAGCAGCTGCTCTCTTGTTTTATTTTAATTTTTTCTTTGGTAATAGTTTATATATGTTGTTGTTGTTATTTGCGTTCACCAGCTGTAAACGCTGGGGGGAAAGACCTTGTTGTTCGTACTCGCGTCGCTTAAAAGCCCCGGTTACATTATGGCGATTAGTTAACTATACCAATAAACAATTCAGAAAACGATAAATTGGCTTCTGAAGGTGTAACAGACAGTTTGCACTGATCTGGCTTATTTAGGCTTTGCCCGGATCTTGTAATCTATAGTTACACAATGATAGCCTTCCTCTACCTGTTCCTGTTTGTGAACGTTTTATGAGTTCATGATTACACCGTTTATTGTATTTGTTTATAACTGTGTTTATTTTATTACCCTGTCTGGACGGCCACCTCATATACTTTATGGTACACTGTTTTGTTTACTTTGTCTGTTTGTTGGCTGTATTAACTTGTGTACACGACGGAATCATTCTCATTATGTGTTTCCATAGTTTATAGTAAATATGCATGATGTTGTTTTAATATGCTGTCTTTTTCTGCGCCATTCTTTAAAAGGGTGGCTGGCTGATTCTGTTGTGGTTTACAGTTAGGCTGCGATTTCTGCGCCATTCGCACAACACCTCCACAGTCTGCAAATTCCTAATTAGTTGCTTTTTATGTTCGTTAGTATCACAACTGGGGCGGCCATCTTTAAACTGTCATTATGACTTCACAGTAATTTTTTGCACTGTGATGTCGCATGCTTAACCATCTTGACACCATTAAGAACAATAATGGCAGGTTAAAAGACAGTGTCCTTGTTATTGTAGTTTATATCTGACTTTTAAACTTTTGATTTCAACCCCTCTCGTATGTAGTCAGGGTAATATAAGTGTATTTGTGTATTGTGGTTTTCTCAACCTCGTATTCCCAACCTGTTTTGTCCCGCAGGACCCCCGATTCAACCAAGAGGTGGACAAAAAGACCGGATACCGCACCCACAGCATCTTGTCGATGCCCATACTCAACTACGAGGGAGAGGTCATCGGAGTGGCGCAGATCATCAACAAGATTACCGGCAACCACGAGTTTACCAAACAAGATGAAGATGTAGGTCCTCCTCGTTTGTTTATTATGTGCACACTTGTGTTGTTGTAATTGAAAGTTTCGAACACAGATTTATGTTTACAAATAGACTTTAAAAAAAAGGGGGGGGGGATATGGGTGATTCTAGAGTAGATTAACTCTTTGAGTCCCGGGTGGGAAGGGGGTGGGGGGGGGGGTGGAGGTGGCATCAGCGGCCCAAGGGGTAGTTAAGAGAAATGTAAAATCAGCGCATCTTGCGTACATAGATGCTGGATGGCCTGAAACGATGGCATGGAGGGATATCATTGAGAGAGCTGTTCCAGGCAACCAGGGATCGTGATCTGTGGAGAAGCATGTGCGCCTACGCCAGTTGGCAGTGCACATGATGATGATGACAAACTACTTTTAACAAGGATTTTTTTTAATATGGATAAAAGGGACCACTTAGCCTTCTTATAAATTTTGATTGGTGGGGGGGGGGGGCGCTCAAGGTCATGAGCCCTCCGGTTGCCGCGTCTATGGCATCCAATGATTCATTATTTTATTGCTGCTCGATAGCCAGACAACATGAGAAGCCATTCTGATCAAAGTCGATCACAGCTGTCGCAGTGTCTTTTAAATAAATCAATGTACTAAACTTAGTGCCGTGGTCTGGGAACTGGTTGCTCGCCTGTGGATCCGACGGTCATGTGTTCAAATCTTAACGAAGTCTGCTTATCTGAAGGTCGTGGGTTCAGGTCCAGACGAAGCCTTAAACGGGTACCCGGTAAGGTCCTGGGAAGTAAACGCGGTCGGTGTGATGTTGACTACAGCACCCACCATATGTATAGCACCATATGCCTAATATGCTTGCAGGCGTAGAGAAGGACACTGTTACTAAACTTAGTAACATTCAGACACTAACGTCCATTTTCCTGCCAGGTGTGTCTCCAACCATCATTAACAAAAGATACATTTTATGCTGGCAAAGGGGGAACAGGTGACAGGGAAGGCTTGTTCTGGGCTCTGCAAAAGTAAAATATAATATAGTAGGATAAACGTAATTAGAAGGGAAAAAACATGGTGGGAAGGGTGGGGGAGGGGGGGGGGTTTAAAAAGAGAACTTATAGATTAAACAAAATTTAAAATGATATAACTAACATCCAATTTTTAGTTTTCCTTTGACACTGTGTGTGTCAGAAACAAAAACACAAAAAAAAAAATATACAAACTAATAGACTAGTGCGGGGGCTTTTGTAATCTTTCAACGAGGTTTATTAACAAGATAATGTTTATCAAGGCAACGTAATAGTAAACACATGGAAATCAAACAAGGCAGACTGATACCAGAACCTAAAGAAATGAGCTCACCGGGGATTCGTTTCCACAACCTCTTGTGTCCATTACTTTCTAGACGTGCTACCAAGATAATTATTTGTTTGAGGGAAAATGAAGAACTTCTAAAGTAAATCTTTGTCTTTTACTTCAATCTGGTAACAAAGAGATTTAACTGATGTTGCTTAAATGCCGTTGTTTCTTTGTGGTTAGTTGTCTAACATGTTTACCATTCCGATGTGGTTTAGTTGTCTTAACTATTTGAGTCCCCGATGGTGTAGTATCACAGGCCCAAGGGGTAGTAAGAGACATAAATGAGCGCATCATACGTGCACTGGGCTTATAGGTAGTAACCTATGAACGTATGATGTTTTCTTTGGGACAACGAATTAAATGTGGATGTTTCTTATTCGACTTAATTATCTAACATGTTTACGTTTCTATTTTTGGAATAGTTATCTAAAATATGCATGTTTATTTTTGGAATTTATTCGTTAACGTGCCTATATTTCTTATTGAACTTCTTTGTTTAAAATGTGCATGTTTTATTCGACCTAATTTCCTATCATGATTATCTTTTTTATTCAACCCAGCTGTTTCAAAAGTACCTTACTTTCTGCGGGATAGGGATTACAAATGCTCAGCTGTTTGAGATGTCTGTCAACGAATTCAAGCGAAACCAGGCAAGTATTACATATCAGTAGTGTGTCCACTTCTGTGTTGTCTTAGTGGTCTTTCTGTTTGTTTGATTACTGACTCTTGATCGTCCTCTCCTTTTTTTTCCTTCTTTTCCTCCTCCTCCTGCTATAACTGCTGGTGCTGCTGGCTTCTTCTTCTTCTTCTTCTCTTCCTCCTCCTCCTTCTCTTCCTTCCCCTTCTTCTTTTCCTCCTCCTTCTTCTCTTCCTCCTCCTTCTTCTCTTCCTCCTCCTTCTTCTCTTCCTCCCCCTTCTTCTCTTCCTCCCCCTTCTTCTCTTCCTCCCCCTTCTTTAAGAGTGTATGTTGCAGTTTGAGCGGGCATGAATCACAAATATAGCCATTGTCCTTTGTTCATTTTAAAGATCATCTTCATCGCACATCTGACATGACCATAAGTGCTCCGATCTGCTCCTGAATATGTCTCCAAGTGGTTTTAGTCTATAAACTCCCACGCAGTTGCACTCACGTAGCGGCAGTCTTTATAAACACAAATCGGCGCTACTTCAAATGTACAATAAATATTTCAGAATATATTATATTATTTCCTCGCGAAATAGCACATAACCACCTTCTAAGTTAACGACCTTTAGAATCAACGATTTTTTTTGCCTCCTTTCCATCAAAATCAAAGTACATCTGCCGGAGAGTCAAAGAAGCAAAAGTCTGCATACAAATAAGACAGATGTGTAACACGGGTGAACACGCAGAACTCTGGAATAAGACCAAGGTCCAGAAGTGGATGAACCACCAGACTTTCAGCTAGATTTTACAGCCGTTAAACGATAAGAACAAGATTGTCTTGGTTACTAAGTAGATAACCAGCTTACCCTTAGCTCTAGAGTTTGAGTGATCGATAATTGGCTCTATACTTGGATTATAAGTTCTTGACTCTTTGAGTCCGATGTTGGATGCTACTCAATCGCATTATATCCTTATAATTTATTATTTTAAATATTAAACATCTGGGTCTGAAGCAAATAAAATAATAATGTCATGAGAAAGAGGGGGTCACCGTGACGTTGGCCGCTAGACACTCGCCTGCGGATCATAAGGTCGTGGGTTCGCCTCCTTTATCATGAGAAAGAAGCATATAAAGCAACATTTGAAGCAGAGTAAGTTAACATAATTACTGAATGGGGGTCAAAAGGTTCAGAATAGTATATAATGTTGTGAGGTTTGGAACAACGGATCAACATCATGGCACACGTGTAGTAACCCATAAGTGCTCCTTTCTTCTTCTAACTCAAGTCTGAGTCTGAAGAAGCTCAACTCAGTGCACAGGCTCTGTAGCACCGGCAAGGGTCCTGAAATATTTTGGGTAGATTTGTAACTCCAAATTGTGCCTGGGCAGCGCCGTTGGCCTACTCTTTTTTATTTTCAACTGTCAAGGGATTTTTTTTACGTGCGCAACAATACACACAGGCGTCCGATCTTACTACCCAGAGATGAGGGGGAATTACTAGAAGTCCAAGTCCACGTGAAAAAATTCCACACCTTACCAGGGGTTGAACCCGGAACCTCTAGCACTCGAGATGGACACCATGCATTGAAACCACGCAGCCCCCTAGTATATAATGTAAGAGAAGTGAGTTGCTAGGGACTGAATGAGTTAAAGAGATCCCTGTAGACCACATCGCCCTCAGAGTGCCAGTTGGTTTATAAACATACTAGCTGTAACCGGCCACGCGTTGCTGTGGCCCAGAATGGTGAAATAGAGAGGAAAGAAAATAGCTCCCAGCTAACAGTGTCTGTCATACCCCCACTCCTCTCCCCTCGACGCAGTCATATCTCCCTCTCCGAAGGATTGAAAAATTATCCATTGCAAAATTAATAAAATATAAATAGTTTAGAAATGAGAACTTTAAAATAATATTTTAAGCTCTCTCAGCTAACTGTGTTTGGCATAAATCCCCCCCCCCCCCAATCTTTCCACCAATCATATCTCCCTCTCCGTAGGATTAAAAAATCATCACCTGGCGAAATTATGAAAAAAGAAATAGTTAAGAAATGAGAACTTTAAAATAATATTTTAAGCTCTCTCAGCTAACTGTGTTTGGCATTACCCCCCCCCCCCCCCCCAAATCTTTCCACCAATCATATCTCCCTCTCCGTAGGATTAAATAATCATCATCTGGCGAAATTATGAAAATAGAAATAGTTAAGAAATGAGAACATTAAAATAATATGTTAAGCTCTCTCAGCTAACGGTGTCTGGCATAACCCCCCCCCCTCCCCCCGCTCCCCCAATCATATCTCCCTCTCCGAAGGATTGAAAAAAGTATCACCTGGCGAAGTCAAATCTCCCTCTCCGAAGGATTGAAAAAAGTATCACCTGGCGAAGTCATATCTCCCTCTCCGTAGGACTGAAAAATCATCACCTGGCGAGGATATTTTTAAAATAGAAATAGTTAAGAAATGAGAACTTTAAAATAACAATTTAAGCTCTCTCAGCTAACTGTGTCCGGCATAAGCCCCCCCCCCCCCCCCCCCCTCTCTTGTCATATCTCCCTCTCCGAAAGATTGAAAAATTATCACCTGGCGAAATTATTAAAATAGAAATAGTTAAGAAACGAGAACTGTAAAATAATATTTTTAACTCTTTCAGCTAAGTGTGTCTGGTATAACACGTTTTAAGCTCTGCTCAATTTCTTAAAGAATTTGACGCGAATTTGCGTTCACATTTGCTAGCGGTACCCTCCCGTGCAAAGTTACTGTTGGGTGTCAATTCTTCCCGCCTCAGTATGGTCCTAATTATTGACCCCTCTTGTAAATAAACGGCGCTAATACATCAGTTCCCTCGTGCCGATTCCTGGGTCTCATGGAGGGTGGGGTGGGGTGGGGAGGGGTTATAGATCCACTGCTGCCCAACAAGCTTGCTGTAAAGGCGATTAATGATAATTTTGCTGAAAATTGATGTTTAGCCAAATCGCGTAGCGTTTTCTTACAGCCTAGCTGTAAACCTCAACCCATAGTGCCAACCGTACTTTAAGGGCGAACGTGGAAAAAGACATGT